GATCCGTAAGTATGTAAACATATAGAAAACAAACACCTGGCGCTAGGAATAATAGTTACAGTGGCTCATGAAATAAGTATCTTTCAGACAGGTGGTCAAGTGGTCAACTGTAAAATAACAGGCCGAACTGGCTGTTTACATTTTGCAACAGTGATGCTTTGCTTCGCGGGCATGGTATTTTTACCTTGAAATGCAGAGTTTGACAAGTATACAAATTTGGTGCCAGAGGGGTATGATAGAACTACAAGGAAGTCCAAAATGTCCATCAACAAAGTCCAAAAAGGGAAGGGGGGCTATGAGTGTTCACAGTGGCAAATTGTCAAACGGCAGCATCAGTGGCAGCACCCTCAGAGCAAAGCAGGACTCTGTATGCAAAGGAAAGAAAGGAGAGGGGCGTTGGACTACAGCATTAGGTGTACAGTTTATTAGCACAATGACAATTGGCAACTTACGAGAATTAAAAAAGAGATAGGCATGTCACCGGAGCAGACCTTCTTCCTCAGACCTGATTGGCCAACAGAAGTGGCCATCTGTTTCCCACCCTTCACATCCCCTATATAGATGGCCACTTCTGTTAGCCAATTGGGTCTGAGGAAGAAGCTCCGCTTCAAAATGTGTTACCGCCCATCCACGTCATCACGTTCCAACGCTGACGTCACATCCACCATTTGCCCGACACCATTTGCATTCCACTCTGGTTCCCTGTGGCAGCCGGCCACTCCAGGATCCTCTCTCCAGCTACAACCTTGACGCTTGGACACCTCCTGTCCTCCTTCGGTTCCCGGGAGTCTGGACCACGTCATTGGTGACATGCCTATCTCTTTTTTAATTCTCGTAAGTTGCCAATTGTCATTGTGCTAATAAACTGTACACCTAATGCTGCACTTAGTCCGGCGCCCCTCTCCTTTCTTTCCTTTAAAGTTTGACAAGTGGAGTTGCTTGTCACATTCACCCATTGTGTTCAATGGGGCTGCACTGCAATGGAGTACAATGCGATTGTAGCACAGTTTTGTGGCATTATAGAGTTAAATCTGGTTGTGAGGAGGCAATATACCTCCTCACTGCCTGTCAAATGCCCTCTGAAAAGCACTGTGACTGGAAGGAGAGAGCCTGAGATTGTTATAGCGGGGATTTCTACAGCCCCTGACCTGGAGTGAAGATCGGATGCATGGCTCCCAGGATTTGCAGCATGGAGGTGCTGACACAGGAAGAACATGGCCAGGTAGCTGAGTGTTAGGAGAGCATCAGGACGTCTCCTAGGCAACACTCTCCTACTAGAATCTAGCCTTCCCGCTGTACTGATCAGCTCCTCAGGCTCTCTCCTTCCAGTACATGCAGCTCCCTACACAGACATCTGCCAGTGTATGTCAGTGAGGAAACTGACAGGCGCTGAGAGGCATGCAGACAGTGGAGGCATCAAGGGTCGGTCAGGGACAGCCAAACGGACGCATGTGGCCCTGGGATGAAATTTGCCCAGGTCTGCCATAGATACATTTTTTTTCTTTCCTTCAGCCCAATAAATTAACCTATTCCTCTATTCCACCCTTTCTCAACCAGGTTGCCAAGGCACTCTGGGGTGCCTTGAGGTTTCTACAAGTGTGCCTTTACCATGGCAAAATGTCTACAAATTGCCCAAAACTTGTATACAAGCCAGTGGGTGGAGCAAGCCTGCCTTTTAGTTAAACAAAGCCACAGGTTTTCATTTTGCACCTTGACTTTTAGACTGAAAAAGATGTCAGCTGACAGCATAAATCAGTGCTGCACATTAGCTCAGTGATGGAGAAAAACTGAGGGAGAAGAGAAATCCAGTACCAGTGTGCAAACATTTGCTTTGTAGGAATAAATCACCTCTAATGTTGGGTGTCGTCCATGTGTGGATGGCTGCGTTAGTTAGGAGTTTTGCACATTTTAGAATGGGGTACCCTTTTAAATTATGGACAGTCTTGAGGCACCCCAGGGGTGCCTCAAGACTTCCATTTTTAAAGGGTGTCTGGACTGAAAAAAGGTTGATAAACACTGCTCTATTCAGTCCACACAAACAAGGTGAATGGAGGGATGTCCCCTTACCAGGACATTGCATTCTGACAGTGGGACCCACCGGTGTCATAATACACTGATCAGCAGTTGCAGCCACTGATCAACAAATATATTACAGCATGTCCCTTTGACAGAAGTTGATCAAACGCTCGAAAGAGCAGGGCCCTCAATCCCCTCATGTTTTGCATTGTATTGGCAGCCACACACTGATCAATACTCAGCTGGTCCCTGCTGAACCTGCCAAATTTCGATCAGTGTATAGCCAGCTTAAGAATTCAGTTTCCTGTGTCCTTTTTACAGGTTGGCAAGTAACCCCATTTTCTCTTAATACAGCTAAACTGAATGCACTTAAACACAGGTAAACGCACAGTGTTAATGGCACCAAAAATTTTTACTTGCATTTATATGTGCTTGGAAAGGTGTTCTAAATACAGTGTAAATGAGGCCATATTGTTGTTGCTTTTTTTTATCTTATTTTTATTACCTTTAGTGTATAAAGCATAAATATATTCAGCAGAGCTGTATAGTGAATGTATAATCAATCACTAGGGGGTCCAGCACTCCCTGACAACACTGACAGCACTTATTTCAACCTAAACTCTAGACCGCTATAAAAAAACAAAACACAAATGAATGTAGCGCTGTATTTATAAAAGCCCAACTTGAAAATACTCCCTTACAGTTGAGCTATGCCCACATTGCAAACTAACTGCTCATTTAGGTATAGGGGCATGGAAAAGTGGGTGCAGTTCCACTGTAAGGGAGAATGTTCAAGTTTCCTGAAGTTTGTTATATTTTTTTTTTCCATTTTGTATTGCATGCTGTGAAAGCAGGCCTTAGATTGGGACAGTGATAAGCAGCTCAAGGGCCAGTCAATTGTGCTGCAGTGCCCATGTACTAGCATGGGGCATGCTGATAGGAAGAGACAACAGAGTGGAAGAGAAATGAGCTTGTCAATGCGCTGCTTTTCCTTTCACTGTCAATTTGCAGGCTGGAGGAAAGACAAAATCTGCAAGAGTTACTAGCTTGAAACACATTGGGTCTCATATCTGCCAAACAGGGCTATGCAGTGTAGTAGTGCTGTGTAAAACTCCAAAATGGATGTGCAGAAACACAAAAGCTTTGGCAGAAATAACAGCTCTTATATATACACTGCTCAAAAAATTAAAGGAACATTTTTTAATCAGGGTATAACATAAAGTCAATTAAACTCCTGGGATATTGATCTGGTCAGTTAAGTAGCAGAGGGGGTTGTTAGTTTCAGCTGCTTTGGTGTTAATGAAATTAACAAAAGGTGCACTAGATGGGCAACAATGAGATGACCCCCGAAACAGATATGGTTTTACAGGTGGAGGCCACTGACATTTTTTTCCCTACTCATTTGTTACTGTTTTTCACTAGTTTTACATTTGGCTAGGGTCAGTGTCACTGCTGGTAGCATGAGGTGATACCTGGACCCTACAGAGGTTGCACAGGCAGTCCAACTCCTCCAGGATGACACATCAATACATGCCATTGCCAGAGGGTTTGCTATGTCTCCCAGCACAGTCTCAAGAGCATGGAGGAGATTCCAGGAGACAGGCAGCTACTCTAGGAGAGCTGGACAGGGCCGTAGAAGATCCTTAACCCATCAGCAAGTCCAATATCTGCTCCTTTCTGCAAGGAGGAACAGGATGAGCACTGCCAGAGCCCTACAAAATGACCTCAAGAAGGCCACTGGTGTGAATGTTTTTGACCAAACAATCAGAAACAGACTTCATGAGGGTGGCCTGAGGGCCCGACGTCCTCTAGTGGGCCCTGTGCTCACTGTCAGAGCCATAGAGCTTGATTGGCATTTGCCATTGAGCACCAGAATTGGCAGGTCTGCCACTGGCACCCTGTGCTTTTCACAGATGAGAGAAGGTTCACCCTGAGCACATGTGACAGACGTGAAAGGGTCTGGAGAAGCTGTGGACAATGTTATATTGCCTGTAACATCATTTAGCATGACCGTTATGGTAGTGAGTCAGTGATGGTCTGGGGAGGCATATCCATGGAGGGATGCACAGACCTCTACAGGCTAGACAATGACACTGTGACTGCCATTATCCTTGGACCCATTGTCAGATCCTATGCTGGTGCAGTGGGTCCTGGGTTTCTTCCTGGTGCACAACAATACAAATGAGTACCATTTTGAGTTGCTGCAATGAAAATTTGCAAAATGGACTAGCCTTCTGCATCATTTGATTTTCAGGGTTTCTTTGAATTCAGTCCTCTGTAGGTTGATCCATATCAGTATAGATATCCAGCATGATATTTTTCCCCATTGAGATCTGATGTGTTTTCAAATTGTTCCTTTAATTTTTTTGAGCAGTGTATATTTAATATGTTCATTTAGCTGTTTGCTTGGAATTTATCTTCAGCTTTAAGTTAAAATGGATCAAAGGAAAGTTCGGGAGGTCGCACAAAAGCACATATCCACTTTAATGCATAGAAAAGCAGCTTAAAAACACCATACTGTATGCCAGTGAGGGAAAAAGGGTTCACAGCGCTGAGCTTAGTGCGATACGCTTGAACCTTTTCCCCCCACTGGCATACAGTATGGTGTTTTTAGGCTGCTTTTCTTTACAATAAAATGGATATGTGCTTTAGTATGGCCTCCCAGACTTTCCTTTGATCTAAAACACAGGTGTGCAAACTGGGTCAGCACACACGCTGAAGGATTGTGGAGTGTGGGAGTGGTGAGCCTATCTGGAGCAGTACTACCTTCTCTGTTTAAATTAAAGTGAGTGAATGAGTAGGAGAATTAGGACTCAATCTGGAGGGGCAAGCCTCCAAGGTAGAAGAAGCCCTGTTAGGAAGGCCTCATCAGTGCACTGTGAGACAAATTGAGCCATTTAGTGATTCACCATCATTCCGAGAAAAATAAGATATCAGTTTTGGGTGGAACGACCCTATAAAGTTTACTTCTGTTTATTCCACAGGAGATGATTCAGTATATGAGGAGACTGGAGGAAAGGCTGGACAAGCTTGCTGATGAAAAGTGGAGAGAAGACAAAGTGGATAAAGAGGAAAGCAGTCCTAGATTAAGTATGTCTTGTCTTAGCAAATTGGACAACTTGGTTATAGACTTTTATAATGTCACTGTTGACGGATTGGTAGTAATAGCTATTTTAATTCCAGGGTGATAGAATAAAGACTAACTCCTTACTTTATGAAGCATATTATCTAGAAAGAAGTCTAATTGGGTTTTATCTCAGCATGTTATAGAAAGTCTGCAGGTGAACCTAGTACCATGTATGGCTTTCCCTTGCCTGCATGCCTCATTTGTCTTGTTCATATAGTAAAGGACTCAGATTCAGTGACTACTATGTTTGAGGCAGATACCTTCAGGTGTTGGGGAAAAAAAAAAAAAAAAGATATAGATATATATATTTATATATATCCCATGTACTGCTCCCAGCAAGCCTCAGGTCTTTGCTCATATCCTTAGGCGTTGGATGTCTTCTCTCTACTGAGTGGGTATTTTGTAAGTTATGGTTACCAATTTCTACAATCAACTTCAGCCATGACAGCATTCTACACAGCTTTCAGATCAGTGCCCCACTGTGAGCACTACAGGGGACTATACCTGGAGTCTGCCAGAGAAAAATGCAGGGCTGGCCTGTAAATTCACTTTGGGCACTGGATCCTGCAATCACCCTGGCAGAAAGTGCAGTGAGATGGGTTAGCCACAGAGTGCTACACAGGTCCAGGGCAGAAGCAATCCATACCAGAGTGACCCAGTCCCTGAATACCCCACCCTGATGGGGTGCGCCCTTCCAAATTGGTTGAAGCCAGAGGTACTAAGGGTTAAATTGCATTCTTCCCCTTTTGGTGTACTACATCTGGTGAGTATGGCAATGTTCCCTACCCTGAGTGTCATCCTTCTACTATCCTGACTGGATCCCCCTCCCTCATTCACCATCAAGATGTGGGCTTGGGATGTGGGAGTTTTAACGACATGGTAGCTTTGCCCCCACTCCATTCCCGGTGCAACCCTTCTGCTCTTTCTGGAGTACTAAGAGGTATGGGCACAATCTGCATGCACTAGAAGAAGTAGCTATCATCTTGAGACTCGGCATCTTCTAAGTTGCGATTTTTACATGTCCCAGCCAACTGCTCTCACACCCCTCACAGTTGAGCATGTTGTGGTTCCTGGGAGTGACTAAAACTGGGGGACAGGATTTTTGGCAACATTCCAGAGTGTGTGGACACAGGAGGACCTCCGTATTAGCTCTTTCTTGCCTTTTAATGTTGAGGCCAGTACCCTCCACAAGAGCCTCCCTCACAACACATAGCCGAGCACGGAGGAAGAAGTCTGGGATGGGGAAAAAGTTGTTTCCTGGGACCTAAGCTACCAATGGGTCTAGTGGGCTTGTGCTGACCTATCCTAGGGATCCAGCCACTAACAGCTTCTTCAGTTGTCCCCCCTCTTACTCTTTCCTCTCATCAGACATTTCAGTTGCCCTGTCTGATGTTCTGCTTTTCTTGTGCTTAAGTAAAGAGGATTTTGCAGCCTCCATGTCTGCTTTTATGTGGCACTGATATACCTAAAGGGTATATTACACCTAAACATATATTTTAAATCATATGTCCATATCTTATTGTATCATAGAATGATATAATTTTGATACAAAGCCATCTAGTGTTTCTTTAAATAATCATAATGTGCAAATAATTAGCATCCCAAAACAACAGTCCAATCCCTAAATAGTATATTGTCATCACGCTGAAGTGCTCCAATATGTCATGCCAGTGTGATCACCCTCCACAGATGTGCTCTCACCTGGGATTGACCTTAGTACTATAGTATGATCAGGGACCAGATATGATCCTCCAAATGGGTAAACTGATCCAATTTCTCTTCAATTACTCCTCTCCTCCATATGGAAATTCAATCATGTATCCTCACTCACTCCTCCTCACATGCATGGGTCAGCAATACACATAAGGGAAAATTTAAATTGGCACAAGATAATGCTTATAACGTTTTAAAAGCTTTCCTTTATTCTCCAATCTTCCAGAATCACACTTACATTAAAAAGATGCTGGAAGCGCACCACACCTTTCCAGCATAAAATATATATAAAACAACGCCAACAGTGCAAATAGGCAAAGTTCTGATATAATTACCACTCTCTTTCACGTGTAGAGCATTGAGACGTCATATGCCCCTCCCTTATGCGTTACGCCACAGGGTCATGTGGCTTCCACAGGGGGATTCTATTGGACATCACTGCGCTCTGCATATATATATGGATACATTGGCGTAGTCCTGTTGTAGTCCTCATCCCTCCATGTGTAATTACATAATTTTTCCTTTAGATAGTGCCTTACTGATATCACCTAGAGTGAGAATAATTTGGTTACATCCCGGTATACGTTAATAGTTGGAAACTGCCGATGTGCAGTACATATATTCAATCAGTCCTTTACATAATGTGCATCCATGATTAATCCCTACCATGCACAATTCCCGCAAGATGTTATGGAATTCCATTATATTAAAATACACATAAGGTTATAATAATATTGTACATAAAATTAATGCAATTAACCTCTTATAAAGTGTACAACTACCCTTTAGTAAATGTTAGCTATTTTATAGATATATTTTTAATAGATAAAGCAATTACATTATTAGTAAAAAATTATACTACATGAAATAAATAAAAAATGAATATTACTATCTGATTCCTCTATACATGTATATAGATTATATATCTAAGATTATGTAACTATATTTCCCCATTAGTACCACCCATTGCCTCCTTCCCCACCAGAGTCTCTTTCTGATACATCTCTAATTGGGTCCCTTATGAGGAAGAGAGGGGGAAAGGGGTTTGAGGCTTGTTTTTCAATAAATGATTGTCCATGAGGGTGATTTAGCTATTGCCTTTCTTAACAGGTCTCCGAGGGTGCCGGTGGAGGATGTTCTGGTTCTTGCGCTGCCAGGTTTTTTCAAAGTCTAGTTCACCAGGATTAGCCTCAAATGCAGCCTGACTGTGGCCTTCAGCCTTGAGTAGGGCATCTCCTTCAACTTCCCCTCTTCACCCTTCTGATATTACTGCATTTCTTTGTGTATCTTCCCAGGTTTGTCTGGGTTTCCCACACCCTGGGACCTCTGTTTCCTACTCTAGTAGGGGCTTATCTTTGGCAGTGGTATCCCTCTGGGACTTACACTCTTCTCTGTAAGGGGAGTTTTGTACCCTCAGATGTGGTTACCTTTTGCGGTAATTGATACTACTCATCCTAATCCCCCTTCTGAGGGTCCTATCATCTGCAGACCTCATCGATGCGGCTTCCCAGGTATCTAGGACTGGAAACCTAGGATTACCAATGACTAAGGCTCTTTCAGCTCAGGAAGTTAACTCTCTGTGGACCTGGGCATAATCTGCTGGTCTCTGGCAAGGGAAGAAGTAGTTCCTTTCTCCCAACCTGAGGGACTTCTGTCTGGTTCCCCAGAAAAAACAGGTCGTCAGGGGATCTTTCTTTGGGTTGGCATTCTAACCTGACCTCCATTGTCCATCCCCTGAGAGCTGCAGAACCTTCACCTCTGGAAGAGTTTGGGACCTCTCCCTACAATAAGACACTGGAAAGGTCAATTCTGTCTGCCCTGTCTATCATAGAGACTAGGCTACGTATTTTGGATCCCCTGAATGGTCATGTTCAGCACTTGAGTCCCCCTCTTTTACTGCTTTGATGGAGATGTCCATCTCTAGATGGCCTTGCTCTCCCCAAGAGGGTCAGCAGACACAGTATGCTGGAACCCTGTTGTTCCTCTCTTCTATGGGGGTTAGCATAAGTTCAGAGACCTTCGTTGGACCTGATCACTGGATGATAGGTCATCCTTCCATGGCTGAACTGCAGCTTTTCTGAGAAAATCTCCATTCCTTCCTTTTCCTTATCAGTAATCAGGCAAAAGTTCTAATAGTCTGGCGAAGATTGGTGGAAAGATGCTACACTGATCTGGGGTAGGTTAGATGATTCTTAGAATCATGTAATGGGTAAGTGGTTGAATGGTTGTTGTCTGCTACTCTCTAGTAACATCCTTCTGTTTCTGGTGTACATGGCACCAGTCTGGGTTATTATACACCCTCCTCCCTGCCTAATCTTTTTGTGGGTGGCATTTGCACACCCTACTTCTTCAGGTTGACTTTAGGGTTGTACCCTTGGTTTTCTACCAGTCTTTGGGGTAATTTTTCTATCCATTGGGATATTATGATGTGAGGTCTCTCACTACAAAATTGGTTGTCTGATCAGGCAACTATCAGACATGGATCCTCTTTTTCCTAAATTTCAGGTTTAGGAATGCTGGGCTTGAGCTTTCTGCTGTTGCCTCTCTCCACCTCTTATACTCCTGGCTGGAATTTATAAAATGCTGTCACGGCAGATACATGCCACAACTCCTCCCTAAAAATTGCCATGATAATGAGACTCTATTAAGCGGTATTGCTCAGATTGGATAGTTTACCATTGTGATAGCGCAAGGCACTTGTGAGTCCTCTAGTAAGTCAGTTCTGGCATGAAAGCAGTAGCTGTCTGATCAAACAGGAAGCTGCGGCCCAGCAGGAAGGAGGCAGTGGCCTAGCAGCAGGCTTCAACCTCGTGGTTGAGAGCCACTGTTTTAAGAAGTTTCAACTATCCAGTTTGCTTTCTTTTTTCAGCTAAAATTTTCTGTGTTGCTGTTAACAGGATGGAGTCAGTTTTAAGTCTATATATAGGTCAGCCATAAGTATAATAATAAGGTAGTGGTATGTGCAGGCCATATCTGACCATCTTTCATGTTTCTTGGCTGCAGGTTGGTAATATTTGTGTAGTCTGCTTGCTTGAACTTGCATATTTATGCAATGGCTGCTGTGAGGAAATTAAAAGACAAGTTCACCTTTGGGAACATGTTACAAGTTCCACCCATTTTTAGGGTGGAACATGTAACATTTTCCCTGCTGCTGCCTGATCCCCCTCCTCCCTGTGACAGCAGTACAGGAAAAGTACTAGCTGTCAGTTTTTGAAAGCAGCGTGGCCGTGCAGGGCTCCAACCACACGACCACATCATTCATTCACAGAATTCTGTGAATGAATGAACTACAAGTCCCGACAGCCTTTGCAACTGTTGAGTGCTGTGGTAGTTCATTGAGTCTTCCTGTCAGATTGTATCTGCTTGCCTGTATGGGATGTTTGGGCAAGCAGATACACTGACAAAAAAAAAAGGTAAATGCACATTTTTTTTACAAGCCCAAAAAATGGGCATGTATTATTTTTTTTTTTTTTTTTTAAGCGAACTTATCCTTTAAGGCACATCGACAGCTAATGTAAAGGGGCCCCGTGACTGCCAGTGTAAGGGAGCAAATGACCTCCAATAAAGGGGCACCTTGACCTCCAACATAAGTGAACACCTGTTCCTGACCTTTAAAGTGTTACTAAACCCAGGACCCTGCAATCACTATATCTGGTCTCCCACAGTACACACAACATGGAAATGCAATTATTTTAGTAAATATAAACTGCTAAATACCTTTTCTCATTAGCAGTTAGAGCAGTCTTGTGACTTCAGCAGAGCACTGGTTAAAGCTTGTAGAAGGAGTTTTCCTTCAGCTGTAGGAGGATGTGAAAGTTCTGACCCTTTGCCTGGACATTGCTTATTGGCCCTGTGCTGATCAAATGCACTCTCCCAAGAAAAAAAAAACCTTCTCTAGCAATACATTCCAAACTGAACATGTGCATGTGACTAAGGATTCAGTCTGTATCAGGTGGTAATTTCAACAAGAGGAGGGGCAGAGACGAAAGGATCAAACAGCCTTTTTACACAATGCAGAGGACTAAACCCTTAGGTCCCACAGTGAGTATAACAAGCATGCTTTACTGCATATACAGACTGATTTTCTGTTGTGGGTTTAGTAACACTTTAATGTTTATAAACCTACGGGTATTCTCCTTGTTGCCTATGGTGTTCATAAGGGGAAAACTACCTTTCAGTCCACTTCTTTTATTACATATGAGTTCCAGCAAGTTTAAATGAGAATGAGGGTTCCTTGTTTAGTGGGGCAAATCAATATTCGGTACAGCAGTGCATGGTCTCAGTATAGAGCACTTCTATAGTCACTATATTGATGTGCCATATCAACAGTCATTCCACTTATCTTTTTTTATGGGATAGGAAACATCCTCATTCATTACTGTCCTTATAGAGAATAAAGCAGCTAAATCATCATGTCTGCTACATCTCTAAGATTTTCTATCATTTTTGTTAGCAAACATTGCAGTGCTGCTGTTAATTTGGCATTGCTGATGTTGTCCAAAGCTACCAGTCAAAAGCTTTCAGACAAAAACTATTGCATGGTAGATTAATGCTTGAGTATGCTTTTTTGGTTGTGGTTCTTTTTGCATTTCAGGTCCAATATTCTTTATGTTACACTTCTTTATCGTACATCTCTTTTGCCAGTTGCTTTGCCAGAGTCAGATGAAGAGTCCTCTGAAAACAAGAGATTTCCTGTGCATGAAGACCCCTTTACAGTGAGTGAGCAGATCTCTTCCATCTTACCAGCGTTCCCTCGAGAGTCTTTGAAGGTGGTGATTAATCAGCCAGCACCCATTGCATGTCAGCTACAGCCATTGCCTGAGGACAACCCTGACTCTGTAAGTTGCATATCTAGTACAGCATAAACACAAGGGATTATTCAATAAATCAGCGCAATGAGTGCAGTTTACTGATGTTTGATTGTAGTAAGACTCTCAGTGCTTCTGATTAAAGGAGTGAAATATATTAATATAACTAGTTTATCATATTTCCTAAAGTTGAACTTTGGGCAGATCATAAATATAAATCAATAACATAAGTGATCCTCTTTCATCATTTAGAAACATGAATCGTCATAAAATGATGTTAACATTCATCCAGTTGTGACACACTGAAGCCACCACGTTCAAATATTGCTGCTGTATGGTTTTTTGAATAAATCCATAATCAAATTGAATTCCTATCTGCGTGAAATTAGCTTTAAAGCAAAATGGGTATAATTTTTGTAAAGAGAACTCTAGCTACTCTCAATGACACCACTGTATTCAGGCCTCAGGGACATATATCCTGGGTCTAGCTAGATCCACTTACTGAGCAAGTTCTCAGCTTACTCACAGTACCTTTGCTTTGATATGGGCAGTGATAGCAAAGGACAGAACTTGTCACTATCCCACTAGCCGTCCCATCTTAGCATCATATGAGTGTCCCTGGGACTGCTGTTGTAGCAGCTGGAAGGCTGAGAAGAAAGACATTTCTGCAGGAGAGAAGAACTTAACAAAGTGCCATTTAATTTGCTAAACCACTGGGTATCATGAGCAAGTACTTTTGTTTTTATTAAAATAATTGTTTTCACCTTTTTGCATACATTTGTAATTTTAATGATTTCCTGAAGCAGCTACTTTCTGTCTACACACCTACACTCTATAGATGAATGTACGACGATGTAATTTATAACAGTCAGAACTTTTTAACATACATCATAGCATATGGAGTGCAGTAATCAGGTATTTGTGATATACAACATAAAATATAAAATGTAAGGGTCAGGACTATGCAGCATATCAAGTGTAGCAGTCAGGGCTATGCAAAAATTAACATAGCTGATAGAGTTCAGCAGTCAGAGCTTTGTAAAATTAAACATAGCAAGTATAGTGCAGTGGTCAACACTAAGTAACGTTACAACATAACATATAGAGTGTAGAGGTCATGACTGTGTGGCCAGCTTGCCCCTTTCATTGTGTAACATACAACATAAAATATAGAGTGCAGTGGTCATAAAGCTGTAACGTACAACGTGGTGTATAGACAGCAGAGGTCACAACTAAGTAGTGTACGGTGTGCAGTGTTCAGGGTCATGTAACAGTGATGTACATTACATAGAGTTTAGGGCTTTGAAGCATTCATTGTGCAGAATTCAGAACTATGTGACATACAATGTAGTGTATAGAGTGCAATGGTTAGAATGATGTATCGTGCACAGTGCAGTAATCTGTAGGTGTAAAACACCTATAGTTAAGTCAGAGTGAAGAGATCAGGACTATATAATCATTCATTAAAGTGGTTGTAAACCCTTACATATACCCAGGGACGTGACTGGCCTCATGTGATACACAGATGAAACAAATCATTCTACATAAGTTTTACCTGTTTGTCTGTAGCCCTTTCTCGACAACAGCCGTTCAAAGTCCAATTTTTATTACTTCTCTGAGCTTTCAGAAAGCAGGGGGTGGAGTGCTGAAGTTATACTCAGATGAGCTGATAGCTGATTGAAGGGAAGGGACACACCCCCTTTACACAGCACACATGGACAGAGCTGAGGCTATCGGTAACGGGCTGTGTGTTGGAGCTCCCCTTTCACCTTTTTACCTCTTGGTGTCAAATTTGTCAGAAGTGACTCATGCAGATAGCAGAGAAATGAAGCAGCAGATAGAAATGACACTTAAGGCTCGTTCACACTTGACTAATTTCTAACTCTTGCCAACGCCCCTATAACGTTTGACAGGTGTTAGGCGTTTGGGAAGCATTTCTAACCTTCCCCAAATGCCCTATACGCGTTTTTTGAGGCATTTGATAGGCGTTTGCCAAGCGTTACAACCGCACCACAAACGCCTGTAATGAAGTTTAACGGTATTAACGCTCTGCAAACGCCTGCCAGGTGTCTGAGGAGCATCACCATAGACTTGAATGGGAGGCTTCAACCCCTCCTGACTTGACATGTCAATTTTGCCGCGGCGCTGACGCTTCAGTATGACCAGCACTGTGTGTTGCCATGTGTAGAATTTTCATAGGCATTTGAGGAGCATTAATAACGCTTCCCAAACGCCTGTCTAACGCTGCTAACAAAGCTAGTGTGAACTGAGCCTAAGTGTCTGGATTGAGACAAGTACACACTGTATAGGGATCTGCTTTGTTCATACTTCATGTCTGAGGTTTATAACCACTTTAAGGCCAGTTCACAACATAAAAACACACTCTAGATGCATTCCAGATACGTTTCTGCTTACAGTTTAAACCACACATTCTGATGCAGTTTTTGATGCAGTTTGCTATGTTCTCGTACAGTTCTGTGCAGAAAAAATGCAGCATGTTCTACTTTTTTTTTCTGCACTGGAAACTGACTGGAACTGACTGCACTGGTGTGAACTAGGGCCATTGGAATACATGGAAAACACTGTGCAGAAACACACTGGACTGCATCTAATGTGACCTAGCCCTAAAGCTCGCAGAGTGCAGTGGGCAGGAGTAAGTGTTCCCTTATGTGGGTGAACAGTGTGCATGCTGCATTGGTGGACAGTGTGCCTCCTTTGGCAGTCAATGTGTCCCCAGTGGTGCTTAGCATGTCATATACTAAAATATATATTTTATATTGGTTATGAGTAGTTGTTGTTCCCCTTTCATTGGTGCAGTTATATTTACATCAGGAATGCTAAGGAGGTCCCACACCTGCTTCTTCCTTGCTCCCGCGTCACTGTAGAGTGACACTGAGCTGGAAATATACAGTCTGACTTGCTCAGTAAGTGGATCTCGCTAGACCTGGGATATATGTCCCTTGGATTCAGATATAATGGTGTCATTGATCGTAGCTAGAGCTCACTATCTTTAAAGCCGAATTTCACGCAGATAGGAATTCAGTTTGATTATGGATTTATTTTAAAAAATAGCATATTTTTAATACAGCCAATAACAGTCTGTGAATGTGTGTAATGGCACAGTAGGGGCTTGTTCACACTTGATTAATTTCTAATGCTTCCCAAACACCCCTATAGCGTTTGACAGGCATTAGACAGGCGTTTGGGAAGCATTTTTAACGCTCTTCAAATGCTCCCCAAACGCCCTATGTGCATTTTTGAGGCGTGTCATAGGCATTTTCCAAGTGTTAAAACTGCACCACAAATGCCTATAATGAAGTTAATTGTATTAACGCCTCACAAACGCCTGCCAGGCGTTTGAGGAGAGTCACCATAGACTTGAATGGGAGGCGTTGAAAGGCTTTACCTCCTCCTGAAACAATAGCTCAGCAGGGGGGGGGGGGGGGGATTCCCTTATCAATACTGACTGTGTTGATGGGGAAATCGAGCAATTTCTTTCCTATAACCTGCAGGTGGGACCTACCTAACAGTAGGTGGGAAAAGTCAAAGACCTGGGCTATTCTTTCTGGTAGATGATGTGTGAATGAGAAGACAGAATTACAAATCCTTTGGCAGGTGAAAAAGCTTGCAAATATTTGCATAGAGTGTAACTGTAAGTTGCTTGTATACTGGCCAAATTTTCAATTTTAGCATTGCTTTTGATGAATGGGGATATGGTATGGTTAAATCCCAAGGGATAATATCTATGCCAGAATGTTTGAAATGCTAAGTGAGAGGCACAGAAATCTTCCCACATTCTGTTATTGCAGAAGTTTACAAATAGAACTGTCATCAGGTTGCATGATGGACAATATTTTGACACAAGGAGAGATCAGCTCATATATCACCAATCTTTAATTGTACAGCTCCATGGAAGGCAGACACAGTTTCATATGCTGTCCATTTATTGTATCTCGCCCTTTGTTTCATATGTGGATTCTCCAAGGAAGCATTTTCCCTGTTAACTTTGACAGCTTAGCGATGCACTTTGTCAATTTTACCATCGCAAACATGATTGTGTCTAAATTCTCTTCGATCACCCACCTACAATTATCACAAAGATAGTATACCCATGTAGTCTCAGATACATTAAAACTAACAAAGACCACAACTGTGTGGAGGACAGGACATAACTAGCGGTGAGCTAGTCCCTGTGCGTCAAATTAAGCTTTTCAGCTGTTAATGACAGCTCAAAGTTCAGATGTTGTGTGTGAAATGGTGGGCTAAGCTCTGTGGACATCTAACATATTAGTCTTTAATGGTTTGCAGGCTTCCTAATAGGCTATATTGAAAGTGAACCAGAGCAACTTGAATGTTACCTTAGCCCCTTTGCTGACAGCAATATAATTCTCTAATTATCTTAGAGCAAACATAAAAGTATCAATAAAAACAAAATACAAGACACTTTAACATCAATTACAAACACACAAGTTGAATATTTAGTATTGTATTTATGTTTTATTTTAAGCCAAAGCTAGCCGTACACTTTTACACTTCTCTCATTTAGTCTCATGAGCTGAGTGAAATAAATCTGTCAGTTCCCCCATCCATGCTAAACAACGTGGATGAAGGTGTCTCCCCTGCCGCCTTATGGTATTCAGCAGCAGGCAGTACCTGCAGCTGCTCAATACATGAACAGTGACGGATTGGATTGCATTCACTGCTCAGCCAGTAATTTTCACTGCTGACAGAGTCAGCTTAAATTTGCTAACATTCAGGCAGTGTATGACCAGCTTGAAGCAAAATTAAATCCATTAATTTTAATGGTTTCCCAAAAAAACTACATTCAGGGCATATTGTGAATAATAACTGTCACATTCGCTTGTGCTCACGAACAATCAAGCCATCAAAACACTGGTGTCATAACTAATCACATGTGCATCACCATAGCAACTGCAGATGAATCAGGACCATAGATGGCAACTTCCTTGGATAGGAGGGTTTGGTTCCCCTTTAAGAACTGTTTCAGGCAGGCTAGGTTCATAGGCTGTCATAGGCATTATATTCAAGCGCATCTG